CTCCAGCCCCCATCTTGCTTCTTCTTATCAATAGACTGATTGCTTTTGTTTGAGACGTGTCAATATTGTTCGACTGATGGTACTAAAGTTCCAGTATTCCCTTGAGCCCCTGGACAGACAGAACCCATGATTGAGTACTGTCATTGGTACTTGTAAAGGGGAAAAAATGTTGGGCCCAGGGCAGCTTTCCCAGGGCAACGTGCACCTGCCAAGATGGGTTCTATAGACCAGCAGGAAGGAAGACCTGAGTCTCAGTTTGCCCTAGGTCAATGCCAGCTCTTAGACTCCCTCCTGTTCCCATTTCACCCTGGGACCTGTTCCTTGCCTTTGCAGGAGACAGCATTCACAGCTAGATACAAACTTGTTCTGTGTTTACCCTCGGAATGACTAATTCGGTTTCTTTATTAGCTTTAATTCTAATCACTACTGAGTGTGGAGTTCTAGTCTTCTGAAAGCTGCTAACTTATTATAGATTGTTAGGAAGTACAAGTTAGTCAGTCATCTTTAACATAGTAATATAACTAGTTATAAAAATAAGTCTTATTTAGTTTAGTTCCCTGTATATGCTTTCAAAGTCAAATAATGAGAAACAAAATTTGTCTAATCAAACATACCTAGGCAGCCTTCATACTTCATAGATCTTCAGAATATGGCATTTAAAATAATAATTTAAAAAAGCTTATTATATTAGACAGAGTCCCATATCCTAACAGTAACCCAAGGTCTCCAGAGATTATGGACACCATGATGTCTCCACCTGGATTATGACGATGCTGACCACTGGACGAGATGCCCCAGGGCAACACCGGCTGCCAGGACCCGGTCCAGACCGTGGACAAACAGAAGGACCTTGGAGAACTGATTGCACCACTTTTGCCTAGACAAAATAAGGTCAGTCTTTTCCATGTCCCTCTTCCACAGAAAACAAAAAGTTCACCTTATGGGCCTGGCTTAGACAGTAAGACAGCTGTTCTGGGGATTTCTGCCTCTGATGCTATGGAGACCTGGGTATGACTAACTGTGTATGGACTCTGGTCCCTGTCATTTTTAATAGATTTGGAAAGTATTTGGTCTGTACTCAGATATACTTTATTTATCCTTCTGAGATCTCTGATAGCATTAATGCTTAGGGCAGTTATAATGTCAGTTTAACAGCAAAAGGTATCCAGATTCTTCCACAAAGCTATAGCCAACTTGTTAGCTAGGACTCAAAGGTTATGTCCAAAACCGCGAAGTTCCCCAAAAAGCCAACAAGGAGACCGAGTCCCATATGTAAAAGCAAAGAGCCTTTATTTTATGCAAATTTGCAAACACAGTGTCCAACGCATTGGAATAAATGGAGAGCTCCGAGCTCTGTTAGAATAGGGTTTTCTTTTTTTTAATTAATTTCTTTATTATGTATACAATATTCTGTCTGTGTGTATGATTCCTGCCGGCCAGAAGAGGGCACCAGACCTCATTACAGATGGTTGTGAGCCACCATGTGATTGCTGGGAATTGAACTCAGGACCTTTAGAAGAGCAGGCAGTGCTCTTAACCGCTGAGCCATCTCTCCAGCCCCCCCTTTATTTTGCTTTTTAATAAATTTGTGAGTGGAGCAGAAGAGCGGTTCAGAGCAGTTGGTGCTCTTCCAGAGGCCCATAGTTCTGTTCCCCAGACTCACATCAGGCAGATTACAACAACCTGTAATTCCAGCTCCAACACATAAAACAAAAATAAACAAATCCTTAAAAACTTTACTGGACATGGTAGCAGGCATCCTTAGTCTTAGCACTGCGGAGGCTGAAGCAGGCAGACGTCTGTGACCTTGAGGTCAGCTCGTGTACATATTCATTTCCAGGCTACGTGGAGACAGCATGTTTCAAAAAAGAAAAAAAGAGGGCTGGAGAGATGGCTCAGCGGTTAAGAGCACTGACTGCTCTTCCAGAGGTCCTGAGTTCAATTCCCAGAAACCACATGGTGGCTCACAGCCATCTATAATGAGACCTGGCGCCCCCTTCTGGCTTGCGGGCACACATGGAAGGAATGTTGTATATATACATAATAAATAAATAAATTAAAAAAAAGAAATTAAAAAAACTTAAGAAAAAAAGAAAAGAAACATTTCTATTTACTTTCTATTTACTTTTGGTTTTTGGGTTTGGGGTTTCTTTCGAGACAGGGTTTCTCTATGTAACAGCCCTAGCTGTCCTGAAACTCACTCTTGTAGACTAGGCTGGCCTCGAACTTCCAGAAATCCTCCTGCCTCCCGAGTGCTGGGATTAAAGGTGCGCGCCACCACAGCTGGTTTATCTTATTATTTTTTTATGTGTGTGGATATTTTGCTTGATGGAGAAGAGGGGACAGGATCCCCTGGATCTGGAGTTATAGTGAGCCTCCACATGTGTGCTGGTCCTGGGAATAAACCTGAGTCCTCTGCAAGAGCAGTAAGAACTCAACCACTGCGCTATCGCTCCAGCTCCTGAATTAAAAAAAAAATTGCAAATTCTAGGCTCTCAGAATTATAGTTCCAAAGAATCCTTAGATTCTCTTCAGAGCTTTATTTTTTTTTAATATGTAGCCCAAGGTGACTTCACACCAAGTAGCTCAGGCTAACCTTAAACTCCGAAGTGCTAGAGTTACATGTATGCATCTTGTTTTAAGTGACCAAAATCTAACCTTTTCCTATTAGCCAGGCTAAACCTTGACAAATCAGTTTGTCATCTGGGAAGTCACTTAACAGGCACCTGGCTGCCTGAGAGAAGGGGAATCAGGCAGGCTTGAAAAAAACCAGAATTGGCATTGCTGAGACCAACCACGGGCAGTTTGTGTTTGAACTTCCATCACCATCCAACACCCTAAAGCTCCCCAAAACCCCAAACATCATTCCTGCCTATAACTTCCAGCACCTTTGGGTGAAGGCGTGTCGCCCCCACCTTTCTCCTCTGAATGTCTGAATCAATTTTTTTTTTAAAGATTCATTTATTTAGAGGCAGGCGGATCTCTGTGAGTTCGAGACCAGCCTGGTCTACAGAGCTAGTTCCAGGACAGGCTCCAAAGCCACAGAGAAACCCTGTCTCGAAAAACAAAAAACAAAACAAAAAATAAAAATAAAAATAAAGATTTATTTATTATATATATAGCATTCCTTCCATGTATGCCTGCAGGCCAGAAGGGGGCATCAGATCTCATTACAGATGGCTGTGAGCCATGTGGTTGCTGGGAATTGAACTCAGGACCTCTGGAAGAGCAGCCAGTGCTCTTAACCGCTGAGGATCAACTTTTCACGTTGCCCTGGGACAAAGCTACAGTGCCATTCTGCCACTCCGCCCTGGCTCGGCCTCGTTCAAGTACAGCTCTCCTCTTCCACACTGCTAACTTAACATTTTAAAAAATGATTTTTACAATTTGTGGGTTCAGAGGAGGCCAAAGTGCAGGCCTACCACTCTCCCCCACTAACTTCACTAGGGGGCGCCACGGCCCCGGCGACGCAGCGACTGAGGCCCAGCGGCACCCACCCCCTTAGGGCTCCCGCGTTTGGCCGTAGGTTACCACTGCTTCTCCTACGACCTGAGCGAGAAAACCCGGGCAGCGCTGAAGCTGCGGCCAGAGACTTCTAAGGGCCCCACACACAGTCTGGGAGGCATCGCCGGGGCCTGAGCTCGCCCTCCTGAGCTGGGCGCCGCGAGCCGGTAACCAAGTGCACATGGCCCGCCCGGCCCTGTTTGTCCTGGCAGCACGCCGCCGCTATTTGAGGCGGTTTTTATCTCCCAGAAACCAGCAAAACCCCAAGCCGAGTCTAGGAAGATGAAAGGGGCCGAGGGGCCTGGGATGGGAGGACTGTAAGGCTGCGGCGAGCGGGAGCTGGCACCGGACAGGCGGAGCCCGGGAGTCGACATGGCCAGCCACTGGGGGGGGGACCCTGTGCGCCACGGAGCCGGGGTCCGCTGTCGCCCTCCGCCTCGGGTGTGCTCCCCGGCGCCCCCCCACGTCCTGCCCACTCTCCCCGGTCTCCTTCGACACAGCCCCCAGCCCACGCGACAAATCCTCGGAACTCGGATTTCTTCAAAGCGCCTTTGAAGCCGCGTGCCCGGCCAGAAGGCTGGGGATCTTGCACCTGGGCAAAGGCACGGGTGGAGCGGGGTGGGGTTGCCTTCGGGTCCCGCTCCTCCACTCTGGCGGCGGGGTGGACCGCGGCCCGGGCGCCGCTGCCCGGGAAAGCACCCTATGCCACCCCTCAGCCCAGCGGGGGAGCCCTGGGGGCAGGGGCTGCACAAAGCCCTATTGTGGCTTGGGGACGGCCGCCACAGAGTGGCTTTTGTTCCTCCACTAACTTCGAGGCAGGCACGACTGATTGCTGGCCCCGGGCAGGGGGCGGGTTACGTGCCAGGCGGGTCAGCCGGCCGGGAGTCTCACCACCGACGCGCGACTCGCGGAGGCTGTGCTGCGAGATATCCCTGCGGTGGTCACAGTTGATACTCCGGTCGGGTCACTGCTCAGACCAAGGTCGATGGTACCGACTGAAAAAGCCGTGGATAATAAGCACTCGACCTTCCCAACTCTTCAAATAGCAATAGGGAACTAAAAATTCAACTCCTACCGGGCGGTGGTAATACAGGCCTTTAATCCCAGCATTTGGGAGGCAGAGGCAATAGGCGAATCTTTTTGAGTTTGAGGGCAACCTGGTCTACAGAGCGAGTTCCAGGACAGTCGGGGCTACACAGAAAAACCCTGTCTCGAAAAAGCCAAAAAGAAAAGGAAAGAAAGAAAGATAGATTCAACTTTGTTAGAGAGCATGACCAACGAAGTTGCTTTTTTTTTTTTAAAGTTTCAGCGTGAAACGCAATCGCGCCGGATTAAATATCCCCACCTTGCTAAAGAAATGTCCCATGGCCCATCCATTCCCCACCTCTTCCCCTTTTCTCACCAGACACAATTTCAAATCGAACTTTTATTTTTTAAATTAAAAAAAAAAAGACTCCACAAGGGGATGATCCTTTCAACGATGTATGTTCTTCCCAGACTCCACGGGCTTTACCCTTTATTTTGGTAGAAGGAGCAGGGGACAGAACCGGAAGACCCAATAGTCTCAGGAAAGGCGTCCAAAGGCACAAAGCGGCTTTTAAAAGTCACTGGAATGGAGTGGAAACTCAGATTGGGGGCCTGTGGCTGTAACCCCAAATCCTTTTAGGGACCTCTGTCCTGCAATAAACTCTTCTCATGGCTTCTAGGCCTTGCACATTGTAGGCATTCAATAAATATTTGATTTACTTGAACTTATTCCCAGAGAAAGCCTTCCCTCCATTTCAGAAGGGGCACCTCCAAACCAAAGTCCTGTTAGGTGGACTTTCCCCAAAGGACAAGCTTCAGACGGCAGCTGCAAGTTCTCGGTAACCATGACAACGGGGGTTATTAGCCTGAGGCGATCACAGGGTTTGAGAGGGGTGGTGGAAGAACCCGCGCTGAGGTCCAGAGAGCTGGGGTCCAGTCAGTCCAGTCCTCCCTCCGCAGGACTTGAAGTTTCACAGCTTCTGGCTGGGGCTGGGGATCTTAGTGACCTTACTGAGAGACACCCACATAAACTCTAACTAACAAGCCAATTTTAAAAACCCCACTGAGACCTTGATGATAGAGATCTATGAACAAGATCTCCACTACCGTTTTTGTCTATACAGAAATGCATTTGACTAGAATTTCCTTAGCAAAAAAGAAAAAAGAAAATCCCCTTCCCTCTCCAGCTCACTCTACCTGACCTGTCATAACTTAGATAAATAGAATTATTATTATTACTATTGTTTACTCCTGGTGCATAGGGGTTAAGTACTCAAGGCTGGAGGCAGCCTCCCTGACCCTGGGGTCACCCCATCTTGGGGATCAGATCCCCGTTGGTCTGCCCCCTTCTTGGCACTATGCTCCCAGCCGGGTAACTAACACCAATTTCCCTAACTCGGCTTCCTAATGAGGAACCACCAGGGGGCAATAAATTATCATCATCATTGTGTTTGCTTTTTAAAAAAGGCTCAAGGGAATGAAGCACAGCAGAAGCCTGAACTCAGCCGGAAGCTGCTGGGGAAGTGGCGAACAGGGTTGGGAAGCAAAAAGATTCGATGGCAAAGAGTTAATGAGGGCGATGGGAGTCCAAATGGAAGAAAAAAGTAAGAGACTGTGAACACGGAAGGGACGAGAAAGTTTAGGAAGCTAGAGCACAGGCACAGGCAAGGGCTTGAGAGGAGTTTGACTAAGTGGGTAAAGGGAGAAGAGCTAAGGAGATAGCCAGGTTAGGAATGTCTAGGGGTCAGGCGGAGAAAGCCCCCAAGTATAGCATGCTTAGGAAAGAGTGAGGGGCAAGCAGTGGCCCACCACACCAAGAGAGCCTGGCAAGAGGACCCTGGAACTGGAGACCTTCCTCTACCCAGCTCAGATCTCTAGCAGGTTGCTCTGCTCCGGACTGCCTCCAGGGGCTTTTTCTGGGGGTGCAGGCGAGGTGGAAGATCGGGGAGGCTGACTGGCTTCTTCTTCCCCGACGCTGCGGCCCTCCCCCAGCTCCTTAGGGCCACTTGGGGGCGGCCCCGGGCCTGGTTCCCCGTGGGTGCGCTGGTGTTTGCTCAAGTGGTCGCTTCTGGTGAAGCGCTTGGAGCAGAGCAGGCAGGTGAACTTCTTCTCCCGGGTGTGAGTGCGCACGTGGCGCTCCAGCTCGTCGGAGCGGGTGAACCTCTTGCCGCAGAAAAGCCAGTTGCAGACGAAAGGCCTCTCGCCAGTGTGCCAGCGCAAGTGGGCTTTCAGATGGGAAGCCTTGCCGTACACTTTGCCGCAACCAGGGATGTGGCAGCTGTGAATGGGTTTCTTCCGCAGCCCAGCAGCTGCTGCCCCCAGCCGCTCGAGCTCCTGACAATTGGGGCAGTCGCAAGTAGAACGGCCTGCCCCACTACCGGCATATCCACCACTACCCCCAGTGCCTGCACCCCGCGGGGGTTTGCCTGCACCACTCCCCTCCAGTTGCCCACTATTGCCAACTGCTTTGGGCTTATAGACATCTTGGGGTAGAACATGCTGGGGCCCTGATTGCAGGAGGTGGGGCGCAGGGTAGGGAGCTGGATTGAGGGGGGCAAAGTCAGATGGGTAAGTAGGCAGCTGGGGGTTCAGTGGAGGCTGGGTAGGGCCTGTGGACAGTGTCCCTTGTAGCCCATCACCCTGGCCCTGGCCACCACCTAGCCAGTTGCCCCCAGGGTGCATGTCCCACCAAGGAGTAGGTGTGTTGCCTGGACCTGGTGAGATGCCTGCATGAATACCTGCCTTGTACCAGGACCCATAAGGATGGGCCATGTCCAGAGAGGTGTAGACACTAGGCAGGCAGTCAGAAGAGCTGTGCCCCTTGGGCACCAGTAGCCCAGGGTCTTGGGCACCAGTGGGCCCAGGAAATGAATGGGGAAAGGGTGGATAGTCGCTGGCATAGCCAGAGGCTGGGGCAGGAGGACTGCCTGCAGGGGAGAGGAGCCCATTGGTGCTTGAAAAGGGAGCTGGGTAGGCGTCCCCCATGGTTTTGGGGACTGAAAGGTCGGAGTATGGCTTCTTTGTGCCTCCTTTTCCCACTGTTGTCCCGCAGTCCCGCAGAGGGCTGGAGCCACCAAATTTACTGCACGCTGCCGTCAGCATGGCCAGAGGACTGGAGCCATAGTGAGCTTCTTCCTGTAGAGAGAGCCGGAGGCACCACTTAGGAGGAAAGATGAGAGCGGGGAGAGTGTAGCTATCGGACTGAGACCTACAGACACGGAGGACAAAGCACAGAGGTTAGGGAAAGCTAAAGAGACGGGGAACTAGAGGGAAGAGTGGCGTGCCAGCGAGGCCCTGGACCCCTGGACCCCTGGACAGGAGAGGCCCAGACCTGATACTCTAGTCCAGCAGACAGGAAGTGCCCACTATGGAGTCTGAGGAAGAGCTGGCTGAGGTGAGAATTAGGGCCCTGACCTAGGAAAGGGGACTTGAAGCAGACAAAAGCCAAGCCATGGCCAGGGACTCAAAAAGGATGTCCCTCAAAGAAGAGCATGACCTGAATGTGGTAGCTCACACCATAATTTAGGAGGTTGAAGTAAGAAAAACCAGAGGCTCAGGTCACCCTCAGCTGCACAGCAGTTCCAGGCCAGAACAGGCGGCATAGACCCTGTCTCAAAAGCAAACAGGCCGGGAATGGTGGCGCATAACTTTATGCCTGAACTCTAAACAGAGGCAGGAGGATCTCTGTGAGTTCAAGGCTACCCTGGTCTACATAGTAAGTTCCAGGACATGGGCTGGAGAGATAGCTCAGAGGTTAAGAGCACTGACTGCTCTTCCAGAGGTCCTGAGTTCAATTCCCAGCAACCACATGGTGGCTTACAGCCCATCTATAATGAGACCTGGTGCCCCCTTCTGGCTTGCAGGCACACGTGGAAGGAATGCTATACGCATAATATAATAAATAAATATTAAAAAAAAAAGTTCCAGGACAGCCAGGGCTATGTAGAGAGACCCTGTCTTGAAAAACTGAAACTAAAAACCCAAACTAAAAAGCCTAGCTCCTTAGGACACCAAGGCAGGAGGGTCTCTGAGATGAGATTGGTCAGCACAGCAAGGCCACTGTCTTCCATATCCTCTCCACAGAAAGCAATATGGGGGCACAGAGAGAAGCAAAAGCACTGGGGAACCGTGTTGGACCCCAGTCCAGATTTCCCTGGCTTCACCACTTCCATTTACTATTTCTGCTTCAGTCCATGACTGAAGAGTCACCGCCTCCTCTCCCTGAAGTCAAGTCCACAAGGCCTGGGAAGGAATCTGGTGGCATGGACTTTGGAGCTGGGAAGCTAGAGGAGAGGACAGCAGAGACACTGCCGGGACACCGAGAGGGAATAGCGCTGCAGCCAAGCCTAGACTGGTGAAGCAAGAATGGTTTTCAAACAGGCATTGGGCACCTCCTGCTTCTTGGTACTAGCTAGTGTTCCTCTGAGCAATGGAAGAGTCCAATGTCATCAAGACTCTCCAAGACAGGGAGCTGGTTAAGACACTGAATTACAGCCTTTCTCTTCCATGTCTCAGTATCCCCTAACATGTGGTCCATGGATGGGCTGGTCCACACCAAACAGTTCAAGTGAGTGAATGGAAGACATAAAAGTGGACTGAGGAGGCCTTTTAGAAATATGGAAGTGGCTGGGTGGTGGTGGCGCACGCCTTTAATCCCAGCACTTGGGAAACAGAGACAGGCGGATCTCTGTGAGTTCGAGGCCAGCCTGGTCTAGAGTGAGTTCTGGGACAGGCTCCAAAGCTACAGAGAAACCCTGTCTCAAAACAAACAAACAAACAAACAAACAAACAAACAAAAAATTCACAGAGGTATCCAGGTGGTGGTGGCACACACCTTTAATCCCAGCACTTGGGAGGCAGAGGCAGGCGTACTTCTGTGAGTTTGAAGCCAGCCTGGTCTACAGAACGAGTTCCAGAACACCCAGGGCTACACAGAGAAACCCTTTCTTGAATGACCAATCTGAGCACCCTCGTGACTGTCCTGCCTCAGGAGCTCCTGGTACCCCTCCTTAGGTCACATTCAGAATCTCATGGGAAGAGATGCAATCTAGCATCCTTGGCTAGTATGTACAAAATACTGGGTTCAACCCAATTACCTTACAAACAAAGAGAGAAAATGAGAGATCCTACAAAAGCTTGGCCATATGGGGCCAGCGAGATGGTCCAGTGGGTAAAAGCATTTGTTACCAAGCCTGATGACCTAAGTTCACGCCCCCACCCCGCACCAGAACCCAAAATGATAGGAGAGACCTCCCACAAGCTGTCCTCTGTCCTCTGGCTTCCACACATCCTATGGCATGGCATTCACATAGATACACCCCCACCTCGTGTGTCCATGTATCACACAGTTTTCTAAAACCTGGTTATTGGGGCTGGAGGGATGGTTTGGCAGTCAAAAGCCCTTACTGCTCCTCCAGAGAGCTGGGGTTAGGTTCCCAGCACCCACATGGCAGTTCCAGCACCCTCTTCTGGCTCCACAGGCACCAGGATCACACATGGTGCACATACATCCATGTAGCAAAACACCTATACAAGTAAAGTTAAAATAAAAAAGTACTAGTTGTGGTACATGCCTTTAAATACAGCACTCAGGAGGCAGAGGCAGGCAGATCTCTGAATTCAAGGCCAGCCTGGTCTACAAAGTGAGTTCCAGGACAGGATAGCAAGAGTTACAAAGAAACCCTATGGGGGGGGGAGAAAAAAGAAAGGGAAAAAAGAAGGAAAAGTAAAGAAAGGAAGAAATAAATAAAAATCAATGTCTTCCTAATAAGCCTTACAAAGGGAGGCAAGAATCCAGGGTTCTCAGAGCTGCCTGGTGGCCCCTAGTTCAGTGTGCAGGTGTGAGATGAGATGCCAAGTCCTAGAGGTGAGGCTAGTGTCTCCACATCTCAGTGAAGGGCTTTGTGATTACCACTCCTATACTGCACCCCTGCCCAACTCTCTATCTTTGTGTGAGGTCTTGTTAATTCTACAGCCTCCTGCCCAGAGGTGGTGGTGCACACCTTTAATCCCAGCACTCAGGAGGCTGAAGCAGGCAGATCTCTGAGAATTCCAGACTGACTCCATAGCTACTGAGAAACCCTGTCTCAAAAAAACCAAAAAACAAACAAACAAACAAACAAACAAAATCCTACGGACTCCCAAATATGAGCCATCAAATACCACCCAAATAAACTGTTGTTTATTGTCCATCAGTAAACCTCTGGACTTTCCCAGGAAGGGTTTTCCTGAAGTTTCCCCACCCACCCTCACCCCCAGATGGTTGGTTTCTCTGTGTAGCCCTGGCTGTCCTAGAACTTGCTCTGTAGACCAGGCTGGCCTCGAACTCACAGATATCCTCCTGACTCTGCCTCCTGAGTGCTGCTGGGATTAAAGGTGTGCGCAGCCACTACCACCAGGCTCCCTGAAGCTTCTAAGGGCCCAAGCAGAGAGGTTAGGGCAGGAAAGCTGGTGGGACAGGAGTAAAGTTTAGCATGAAGGGCAGGTGGCAACATAGGAACTCAAAGACTTGTGGAGATACAGAAACAGGGGACACAAAGGACGTGGCGGCATGAAAGCTGTGGTATGCCACTATGGTAGTGACAGAGAAGCAGGGGACCATAAAGGGATGTTTGCTTTAAGAGACAGAAATGGACAGGAAAGTTGAAAAAGAAAAGGCAAGGAAGGCAAAATAAGCAAAGAAAGGTGGTAAGGGATCCCGGGCCAGGAAAACTAAGGAAAACACAGGAAAAGACAGGAGAAGGAAGCCGGAGGAGGAGAAAGGCATACACTTCCCACCTAAGAAAACCTACCATAGCGATGGGCCCCAGACAACCCCAGAGCAGGTCATTCCTCCCTCCTTCTCCCCTTTAGCTGCTGCCCCTCCCCCTCTGCCCAGCATGGCCCTGCTCGGCTCCGGCTCCGGTGGCTTCCCTGCGGTCGGTTTATTTTTAAAAACGCCGATGCGGTCCCCCGCCTGCCCGGCCCTCACACTGTGGCCACAAGGGCCTCAGCCAAGCCCAGGGACCCCACCCAGCTGTGGGGAGGTAGGGAGGGATAAAAAAGACAGCCAACCCTACGCTGACATGAGACCCCGACTTTGGGAGCAAGGGCCAATAGGGGCCGTGGAGGTCAGAAAGAAAAAGCAAAGTACCGGCCTGCTCTGGGGCCAAGCACTGGAGGAGAAGTGCTCGCTCTCTGTAAGAGCTGAGGGAAAGGGTTCAGGATTCCGGGCATAAGCTCCTATAAGATCATATGCGTTACCTTGTAGAAACCAAGATACCCATTTTCCAGCTTCCCTGTTCCTCATCCCTGTCCCACCACCCTTTAAAATAAAAGGCTTAGCCAGGTTCCTGCCCTTAGTCCCAGCACTGGGAAGCAGGCAGGGCTCTATGAGTTTGAGGCCAGTCTGTTCTACGTAGTGAGTTCCAGGACAGTCTACATAGCGAGATCCTGTCTCAAAAAAGGAAAAAAAAAAAAAAAAAATAAACAAAATAAAAGACTTAAAGTACTGAATGAGGAGCTTCTAAAGAAAGATAAGCTTTCTCTCTGACGTCAAGTGAATCGAAGGGACTGCCTGATTCCAAGTAACTCACAGTGGAAATGCTTACTACACTTCTGACAGCTGGGACTAGCTGCAGAGGCTGACCACCCTGGCTTCCTGGTCCTACTTCTAGCTTTCTCCCAAGTTTTCTTAATTCACCCAGCTTTATAATTTTTAAAAATGTTCTTGTAGGCAGTGGTAGAGCATGTCTTTAATCCCGCACTTGGGAGGCAGAAGCAAGCAGATCTCTGTGAGTTCGAGGCCAGCTTGGTCTACAGAGAGAATACACAGAGAAGTCTTTTTTCTTGAAAAACAAACCAAATTTTTTTATTATGAATATTTTATTTTTATCTTTTGGCTTCCTAGGGATTTGGACCCAAGGTCTCATCCCTGCTAAGCAAGCACTCCAGCACTGAGCTGTATCCCGACAGCACAGGCTTCCCAACTCCATGCCTAGTGTCCTCTCCTCCCCAGCTCCCCTCAGTTCAGCTAAGTGTCCTTACCACAGCAATGGCTTCCCTCTCTGAATCCCAAGTTCCTTCCACTGCTAGAGAAGCTACTCATCTCAGAGGGATTTCCAGGGCATTGCAGAAGAACCTAGGACCCTAAAAACTAGGTATAAAAATGGAGAGACTGCCTTAGGTGGTGGCACACACCTTTAATCCCAGCACCTGGGAGGCAAAGACAGGCGGATTCTGAGTTTGAGGGCAGTCTGGTCTATAGAGTGAGTTCCAGGACAGCCAGAGCTATGTACAGAGACCATGTCTCAAAAAAAAAAAAAAAAAAAAGAGAGAGAGAGATTGGTCCATGGTTGGGTTAGGTGTGTCCTGATCACAGGGAGCTGGAGACTGGCAAGCCTAGCACCCAGAAGCACGCATTCTTATTGCCAAATGCTTCTGTCTTTCCAGAAATTCTCCCAGATGCCCCTCCCCCAGGCACGCGTGCCACGCTGGCAAGGCTGGGAATGCCCACAACACTGTCCCTGCCCTGGCAGACCCAGGACTCAAATGCACCTTTTTTTTCCTGCTTCCTCAAAACCATTGTTTCAATATAGTCTGTTGAGTAGAAGTATGTGCCCATAGTCATACATATACATACTGATAAATAAAGAAATTTAGACTCCATTGGGGAAGGGGCCACGAGAACAATCGGTACACAGTGCTGTTGAGAATAGGTCTCTGAATCGGGATTCCTATCTGCTTATAGAGTGTGTCCCGCCCTACTGGCTTGTAGGCCATTACCTCAAACTCAGTCACAAAGTCATTATCTCATAACCTTATGGATACCACTCCTCATGTGGACTGAGTACTAAACTAATCCAGCTTATAGTACACACGCACTCTTGTGTACACACACATACACACACCTATACCCACAAAGTCAGCAATGTAGGCAACTCTAACACTTATACAAAGGCCAGTGGACACAGAAGTGACTACACACACGCACATCTCCCACAGGTTTAGCCAGGTGACTTTCTTTTTTTTTTTTTTTTTTTTTTTTTTTTNACAGAATCTTAGAAAATGTATGTTCTGCTGGAGTCAGACTTTATAAAATATTTTTTTTTCCGAGACAAGGTTTCTCTGTGGCTTTGGAGCCTGTCCTGGCACTAGCTCTGTAGACCAGGCTGGTCTCGAACTCACAGAGATCCGCCTGCCTCTGCCTCCCGAGTGCTGGGATTAAAGGTGTGCGCCACCATCGCCCGGCTAGCCGGGTGACTTTCTGATGAATCAATCACCAAGGATTCGTCACTCCTGGGACCTGAGTTAGTGCACCCAGAACAGAAGTTTTGTTTGTTTTGTTTTTGAGACATGGTCTTTCTATGTAGCTCTGGCTGTCCTGGAACTCTATGTGGATGCGCTGGCCTCACCTGCTTCTGCCTCCCAAGTGCTGGGATCAAAGGTGTGTGCCACTACTTCGGGCTGAGATGTGGCTTCTGAAGGCCCCCAAAATAGGAACAAGTTGATGCTGCTGGAGGGCACTGACATCCAAGGAGGATTATCTCACCTCCAGAAGGACCCTGAAACAGCACCAAGTGACTGGAGGACTGTAAGTCCTCCTTGTCCGACTCTGTGCTTTGGGTCCCCCAGAAGCCATTGCAAAGTTAGTGATTTCTCAAGATGCCAAATTCATATGGTACCCTAATTCTCTCTGTCGTCAGAACCAGAGGCAAGGGATACTGGGGTCCCAGCCTGAGGGGAGTGGCCCAGTCCTCCCTGGCGCCTCCCACTCCCAAAATAGAGCTCAGTTTGTCTTTGGCCAAAAGCTAAATATTTGTGAGCCGGGCAAGCGGCCTCAGAGCCTGTCCCTCCTCCTTGGTTCCCTCTCGGGTCAGCCCCCCACATGCAGGGCTGTTCTCCTCTTCTCTCCCACAGCCTCCCTCCTCTCCCACACACCAGCTCCCAGTCCAGGCTCTCTCCTCAACACAGACCTGACCAAATCTTGCTTAGTGTAGAAGCCCTAGACATGGGATTCCCTCCCAAGCCAAAGAACTAGCTGAAGGCTCCTCTATGCCGGCTCAGACACTATCCGCTGTCAGCCTACCTGTTCCCTGCCGTCACCCCCACCCCCAGTGTTCTTGCACTCCTCACAGTTAGTGCCTAGATGATCTTAGGGGTCCTCACTTTCTTTTTACCTAACTCTTCTCCCCCTTCTTTAACTGCCCTCCGACCCCTGGCCCTGTTTTCCCCTCCCTTTGCTTCTACCCCCTGTTCACCCCTCCTAGGACACTACTCATCACCAGAAGGATCCTGGAAGTGACTGGCTTTGCAGCTACCGCCTCTGTGAGCTGAGGGGGTGGGGTAGGCATGGGTTAGGACCAGGAAGATTGTAGCTGGTTTCCTAGGAAGAGGAGGAAACAGTTACCTCAAGCAGAGAGGACGCCATCCTCAGGCTGGGGATCAGGTCCCAAGGAGCCAGGCAGATGGAGAGAATCGAGGAGCCAGAGGGAAAGGGGAGAGGGAGGGAGAATGGGAGAGAAGAGATCTAAAGTTAGAAGGGACTGGGGGGTGGGGGTGGGGGGGCTGCTCTCTGTCTGTAGGGATCCACCCTCCTAATTACAGCTTTCCCAGCGGAGAAGACTCCGGATCCAATGAGGAGGGCGAGAGAGGGAGGCAGAGGGTCCAAATTTCCTGTTTCATTTGCTGAGCTCCCCAAAGAAGGGATCTGGGAGGGAAAGGAAAAAAGGGGGCGCCCAGGGAGCGGGTGGGAAGCAGGAATATGGGCAAGTTGTCAGAGCTTCTTTGGGGGTGCTACCAGGAAAGGTGAAAAGGGCTGGTAGACCTAGGTGTCCTACATACCCCAGAAATCCAAAAGGCATCTGTGGACAGTCCCCAGAGCTGCTCGGCATCTGTACCTGGGGAGTCTGGGGTTGGCTGTCCCGTCTCCTCTCAAGAGGTCTGGCAGGAAGACTGCTGGCAAGGGGTGGCTTGAGGGCGCTGGGAGGGATCCACTCTTCTCTCAGGTCAGCTCGCTCTTGTTCCCTCTCAGATCCAATCCTACAATCCCACTCTGACTGAGAGTCCTCACGGCTACTCAGTGGCGCGCAGCTTCTGTTGCTGCTGCTGCTGCTGGTGCTGCTGCTACCGAGGTTGCTGCCGCTGCCGCTGCTCTGCTAAAGGAAAGAACAGGAGGGAAAAGGAACAAACCCCAAACCACTAATTAGAGATCTGGGGGGGGGGGATGGGGGATTGGGGACGACACTCACACAGAAAGACTGGAACACACTGACATACACACTCATGAACAAACACAGGGATGATGCATGCACACGTACATACTGCTACCCACATGGGACTGTCACTGTGGTGAATGAACACAGACAAACTCACATACAATGAATATGATGACACAATGGGGCACCTACACTACCACCCACCACCCCCCAACGCTGGCAATGGAGATGCTTTCTTGTTCATTCAGCCACATAAAATTAGGATGGCACTGTGCGTGTGTGCGTGTGTGTGTGTGTGTGTGTGTGTGTGTGTGTGTGTGTGTGTATGCGTTGTGTGGAATAGGAGGGATGATCTGCTCGTTGTGGTTGTGTGTTCTGCCCAAACTGTCAGTGTCAATGAGTTAGCCTGGAGCAAGTCATGGGGCGTGGGAAGACCATGGCACGGTTTGCAGAGGAGAGTATCCTCAATGAGACCTAGGCCCACCTAAGTTTGTAGGACAGAAGCTGGAAGTTGAGATTTCAGGCACGCAGGAGCAAGGGTCAGAGCAGAAGGCCATTGGGTCAACTGATTCATGCCCATACTTAGCCTCTTGGGATTAATCTCCCCCTTCAAATAACATTCCAGCTTCTCTCACTCCTGATGCACCAGTTGCCATCCCTTAGCTAGGTTTTTCTTTTTCTTTGAGACAGGATTTCTCTGTAGCTTTGGGGCCTGTTCTGGAACTAGCTCTTGTAGATCAGGCTGGGGCCTTGAACTCACAGAAATCCCCCTGCCTCTGCCTCCAGAATGCACCACCACCGCCCAGCTTTTTATTTTTATTTACTTGGCTAGGGTTTTAATGTCCTTCCTTCAGTAGTGGTCTCTCTTGTAAGTCATCTTGCTTCCTAGGTGGGGCTTCTCGGCTCCCTTCTCAGTGGCCATGCAGAAGTTCCCTCTACAGAAAGAATTTTTTATGCTAGTGCTTGATCAGGACTTCCAACTGTGATATCCCATCCAGATGAAAAAGAGAAGGGATGTCGATCAAGACAGAGAGGGAGATCTAAAGTATTAACTCATGCCTTGTCTCTAGGGATAAGTTCATGGGGAAAGACTAGACAGCCAAGCGGTAAGCATAGCATCTGTTGGGGCTGGAGAGATGGCTCAGTGGTGAAGAGCATTGACTGCTCTTCCAGAGGACCTACCTGGGTTCAGTTCCCAGAACCCACATGGCAGCTCACAACTGCCTGTAACTCCAGTTCTAGGGGGCCCACCAACACCCTCACACAGACCTACATCCAGGCAAAACACCAATGCCCATAAAATAAAAAAATAAATATATTTTTTTAAATAACATATGTCCCAAAAGGAGACCTGCCTGGAAGGGGACCTGCAAATCCCTCACCCCTCTGCTCTCAACCTCGCCTGCCCTTCCCCACTCTCTAGCAGCCCCCACTTTCTCTTTGTGGGGGAGAACCCACTTCCTGTTCCTTTTGTCCTCACAGCCTTTCAAAGAAAAAAATAAGAAATGGATGGTAGGGACCTTCATGGTAGCTTAAGTTGCAAGCAGAAGGCGAGTTCACAGAGGACTTGAGTTCTGGATCCCAACTCTCAAATTTGATTTCCTTGGGGAGGGCTGGGATTAAAGATTAGCAAATACAAACTGAGCAGTTGTGGTACACTCCTTAAGTTCTGCACTTGAGAAGCAGAGGCAGGCTATCTAGACTTTATGAGTTTGAGGCTAGCCTGGTCTACATGGCCAAGTTCTATGCTAGTCAAGGATCCTTACTGAGACTGTGTCATTATAAATAAAGCTGGGCATAGTGCTACACACACCTTTAATCCCAGCATTTGGGAGGCAGAGGCAGGCGGATCTCTGCGAGTTTTGAGTCCAGCCTGGTCTACAGAGTTCCGGGATAGCCAAAGCTGTTACACAGAGAAATCCTGTCTCGAAAAACAAAACAAAGCAACAACAAAAAAGAGACAAAACAAAATCTAGAGAAAGCAGAAAAGAAAAGGCAATGACAACAAAACCGCCTAAAAAAAAAAAGAAAGAAAGAAACAGACACAGAGGAACAAAGATAGACACACTGGCTTCAGAAAGAAAGGGAACTAGCTAGAAGCATAGCCAGGTCTGGAGGAGGTGAAGGGTAATGCAGCCAGCAGGTGGGGGGCGGGGATGGGGTATAAATAGGGCATAATTGTGTCCGATGATTACATGGGCCACCCCACCCGTCTGCCCAGAAGGAAGTGCCCGTGGTGGGCCGTTCCTATGACCTCGTAGTCTCCTCTATGGTGGTGGTGGGGGCCATTCCTACGACCTCATAGTTTCCTCCATGGTGGGGGGAAGTCAAAGGACAAAGTATTGGTTGAATTTCTAGGGTTTTAATTAAGAGACTGGGAAAAAGAAAAGGAAACTCTCTGGCAATTCCTGTATCATTAGAGAAACAGAGGGTAGATCAAACAAGAAACTGAGGCAGCAGTGAAATCTAGATTCAAAAAACAAAGAAACGAGAGGGAGTTGGATCCAACCCTGACTGGATAAGAAAGAGTATGAAAGAGTAAAGGATGGATGAGGAGGAGAAGGTAGAGACTCGCAGGCAGGTAGATGCCAAGGGTCAGCCTTTCCACTCCCTGTGGGAAGGGGTAGATGCACTCAAAGCCAAAGAATAGTAGGAAAAGAAACAGGAGGAGCAGGATCCAGGAAGATGTTAGAACCAGAGCCTGAGGTCGGAACCCAGGTGGGCAGCCGCTGCACACCAACAAGCCTCCTGGACAAGGATCTGTGTCAGCCAGGTGAGGGGTACTTGAAGCTCTGAGATACCACCTTAACCCACAGCCCTCAGGCTCTGATTTCCGACTTTTTTTTTCCCCTTCAGTTAAGACAGCATTGCAAGCCAGCTGTGGATCTGGTATTCCTGGGTCCTGTTCCCCCGCCCACCCCTCCAGTACCCTCAGCGGCTGGGGGCAGCAACTGGAATCCCTTTCCAAGGACCTCCTCCACCGTCACAGGCCTCCCTCCGACCAACCTCCCAGGGGGTGGGGCAGCCCAGGCAGAGGCGCCATGTGGCAGCGGCGGGTAAAGGCTGCGGCTCTGGCCCTTCCAGTATAAACCCCCTAGGCATCTGGTTTCTATCCACCACCCCCACCACCCTGGGGGCCCTTAGCCTCCGCCCATGGCCACCCAGACACTGAGCTCTGAGATGGACGTCCCTCGACGCCTTTCTGATCTCCCAAAGCCAGCACTGGGCTGAACCGCAAGGACCACTCCCTTCCCTCCCTCCTTCCTGCGCGAGAGGTTCAGGGTGGGCTTTCCTAAACTAGAGGGGTTAAATTTGGAACCTGCCTTCAGTTCTAATGATTTTTTGCATCTTTTGGAAAGGTGGAGGGAGAATGAGACTTGGAGAGAATGGAAGGTTTTACCCCCTGTTCCTTGAGGGGTGAAAAAGCTAATTCTGCCTGTGCTCACCTGTTCAGGATTTCTCTCTGAAATCTCTATCAAGGGGACTGCTAGGCACTTCCCACGGAACTGTTACAGATTGGATCACTTAGACTCACCAGAAAGGAGAAAATGGAACCCTTTAAACTGACACATAACCCCACAAGCCCAATGAATAACACACAATCAGGTACACATACTAGCACACTAGAGAACACAGAACCCATTCACATTATGTAGTGTGCAGACATCCACACTAACGCACACTGATTCAGAGGCGTCCTATACATACCATGCTTACGCTAAGGCTCCCTGATTCTCATTCATACCAGCACAAACACGCACAGGTATACACACGCATGTACAGATTTGGTGACCTTGATATGTCTTGTGGACCCATGTAGACTCATGTCAACGTGGCAGCTCCACATAGGCAAATGTCATGGTCCCATCACTTGGGAGGTAGAGGCAGAAGAATCAGAAGTTTGAAGTTATCCTCAGCTACACAGCGAATTCAAGGTTAGCCTGGGCTACACTGTCTCAAAAAGTGAACAAACAAATCTAAGAGTAGGCAGGATATGGCCAGCCCTATACATTGCTCTCTCTGCCTCCTTCTAGGGTAGGAACCACCAGGGACCTTTGATCCCTTACTGCCCACACCCACAGGAGCCCAGATACCCAGATAGCCTCAGCAGACTCCTTGGCCCTGGGGAACCCCAGGCATCTCTACCCCCACCCCCTGCCCCCCTGCTCTGTGGCCCTGCTGACTCAACTCTCCCTGCGTGGAGCTCCCCAACCACAGGGGCCTGGAAGTGAAGCCTGGAAAGTTGCGCTCATGTCCCGGGCCCCTGGTCTGGCCACTGCCCGTCCCCAAGCACCCAGGCCCAGCCCTCCTCTTCAGAGGCGAGCTCCAGTGACAGACAGTCTATAGGGATAGGAAAGAGAAGGCACCCGAAATCAGAAAACAGGAAGACACAGGGTGGGAGACTATCGTTTCTGGCACCAGGAGGCTGAGGGCAGCCTTGGTGACACTGTGAAACCACACCTCAGAAAGAAAAGATGACAGGCACACATTTGTAATCCCAGCACTCAGGAAGCTGAGGCAGGAGGATTGCCGTGAGTTCTAGATCAGCCTAGGCTCCATACTGAGTTCTGGTACAATATGAGTCAACGTGGCATCTACCTGAAAAACAAAAACAGAGATAAACCGGATAGTGCAACGGGGAAGGACAACTGCTACCAATCCTGATACTCGTGAGTTCGAACCCCATAACCCATATGATGAATGAAAAGAACTGACTCCTGCAATGTCCGATGACCTCCACATAGGTGCTAGGGCATGTGCCCCTTCCTCATAAAGAAGAGAAAAACACACAAAAAACAAAGGCAGATATATGGTAGATAATGGAAGGGACACGGACAAGAGTTCGGAGGGACAGCTGC